CAAGTTATATCCGTTAGACCACCAGTATTATACTTTTCTGGGTTGAGTTTACCGAAAGTACAAGCTGAATATAGCCGCAAATGTCAAAAATATTTCGGTTTGGCAGTGTTGGCATGTTTTTATAATGCATATTTGTATGCTTCAAATATAAAGAGATAAAGCTTTTAAAAAGTACATTTTGATTATACTATTTTATGAATTCTGCAATTTTTAATTTATATGAAGCAATAACGAGTAGATATTTGTCTCTTTCGAGATTAATTGCAAACATCTGTTGTAATCTGGCAACTGCTGATTTGACGATTGCCAAATCTATCCCCTAATCTATCAAAGGGTAATTGCTAAAAAAATTTCTAATAATTAACTGCAATTAATCTCCAAAGAAACAAATATTTACTCATTGTTAATAATAACTAATAACTTAAACAATTTTAGATCTTTAAGGGCCAAATCTAGATTTTTAATAAAGAAAGCAAAAAAAGAAAGCTGGACCAATTACGTGTCGTCAATTGACTCGTCTACACCCATAAGGAATATATGGCAAAAAATAAGGAAAATAAAAGGTTCAAAAACATTTAACCATATTGACACAATAACTACAAACGATCTAACAACTTCAGACAAACATGAAATCTCAGAAATTTTAGTAGAACACTATCAGTTGTATTCAAGCAATCAACAGTACCACCCAAATTTCTTAGAACATAAAGAAAGAATAGAAACATCAAAAATTAACATAGAAGATACTGCTAGTCCACTAAACACTTCCATAACACTTGATGAATTAAATGAAAGTCTTAATAACCTCAAAAATACCTCACCTGGACCTGATGACATACCACCAATTTTCATCGAAAAACTACCTATTAGCGCGAAGGTTACTTTAGTAGTCTTCAACAAAATTTTCGACCTAATTTCTCTCTGGCGAGCATTTAACATTTTTAAAAGACAATAAACCAAAAAACTTATCTTCTTCGTATCGACCAATATCTCTTACCTGTAGCATCTGCAAAATAATGGAAAAGATTCTAAGCAAAAGATTAAAATGGTACTTAGAAAAGAAAAATCTCCTTACATCCATCCAAAGTGGATACCGATCAGAACGGTCTACAATAGATAATATTATAGCAGTAGAATCTGAAATACACGAAGCTTTTATACATAAACAAAAATTAATAGCAATTTTCTTCGACATCACAAAAGCATTTGACACCACGTGGACATATCACATCTTAAAAACAATGAAAAGTTGGAAAATAGATGGCAAATTCTTAGCCTTCACCAAAAACTTCCTGGAGAACAGAAGTATAAAAGTTAAAACAAACGGTGTCATGTCAACTAAGAAATCACTGGAAAATGGTATCCCTCAAGGATCTGTATTAAGCCCCCTGCTGTTTTTAATAGCAATCAACAACGTATCTAACCATTTTATGCTTCCAGTAAAAGCAAACCTTTACGCCGATGATCTTGTAATATATATGAGAAGTAAAAACCTAAAATCAGCTGCATCAATATTACAAAATACACTAAATAAATTAGAAGGGTGGTCTATATAGGCTTGAGGTAGATATAGGCTTGAGATTTTCAACCGAAAAAACTAAAGTAATAATATTTGACAAAAGGAAAACACAACACCACTTAAATTTAAAACTAAACGGAAATACTCTTATAACAATCAACGAAATCAAATTTTTGGGAATGACATTCGACTCTCAACTCAAATGGACATCGCACATAAATGAACTAATTAAATCATGCCAACAGAGAATAAATCTTCTAAAAGTTCTTTCCAATCACAAATGGGGCGCAGACACAACTATTCTTCTACGATTATATCAAGCTCTAATTAGAAGCAAACTAGATTACGGATGTATATGCTACGAAACTGCTACTAAAAGTCAATTGAACAAACTGGACATCATCCAATCCACAGCATTACGTATAGTTTTCGGAGCTTTCAGAACCACGCCAATTAGCAGCCTTCAAGTCCTAGCAGGAGAACCGCCATTAGCTCTCAGAAGACAATATTTTTCGATGTGTTGTGCTACTAAATATCTCAGTGCAAATGAAAACCCGTTTATAACTAGCCTAATAAGGAGCAACCCTCCAAATCTGTACTCAAATTATTGCCCTAGAAACTTACCTTTCAATGAAAGAATAAATCGATTTGAATTCGATATACATCAATTGAGAGCCACTTCTACAAATAGATGCCAGTATCCTCCCTGGAAAGTTCAAATACCAAAAGTAGATTTTACCTTACTTAACTATCCCAAACAATCACACAATCCTTCTGAAATAAAACAACAATTCCAGTCTACCATCTCCAGATACCCTGATTTCAAACTAATTTTTACTGATGCCTCTAAAAGCAGTAATGGTGTAGCTGCTGCAGCTATTTTTGAAGACAACACCTCTGTCACCCGTCTAGCCAACGAGTGTAGCATATACACTGGAGAACTGCAAGCAATCTTCAACGCACTGAACCAATGTACCAGCAATGATATAAATTTTCTTATTATATCAGATTCTTTGAGTGCCTTAAATGGTGTCAAGCAGATGTATCCTACTCATGCCAATTTAGCACTAATAAAAGACATGCTATACATTGCCCAAACACGTGGTAAAAACATAAAATTTTTATGGGTACCATCCCATGTTGGAATAAAGGGTAATGAAGCAGCTGATAAAGCAGCAACAGAAACTATCAATAACATGACAATTCCTATTATGCAAAACATACCAATCTCAGACCAAAAAACATTAATAAAAACTTATATTAACAAAACCTGGCAAGTAAAATGGAACCAAACAGAAGCAAAATTAAAAATTATCAAACCAGATGTTACTTCTGCTTTACTACCACTCCCAGCTCAAAGACATAACCAAGTAATTATTAACAGACTGCGACTAGGCCATACAAAATTTACACATGGATACATCATCTCCAAGGACCCTCAGCCGATTTGCCACACCTGTCAAATACCAATTTCAGTGCAACATATAATGATAGACTGTCCAGTGTACTCAACAGCAAGATCGACAGCAAAAATAAAACACAATTTAAAAGAAATTCTAAAAGAAGATATCAGTAATACAATAAAATTTATCAAAAATTGTACAACTGTATAACAAACTGTAACATAACATAATTTTGTATTTATTTTTGTATTTTTCAAAACTGTTATGTAAATTTTAATAACATACTAATGTAACTTTTCTAAAATAAAGATATACCACCCCGCTAATAACCCTAGGGATTGATACGAAAAAACAAATTCTTTCAAATAATAAAGTAAATGTCAGTATAACTGAAGAAAGTTATTCATAAATATGTAAAATATGTAATACACCTTTAGTCAAACGGTAAATACACATTCTGAAATTATCAATTTTATTTCTTTTGGTTGATGCGTAAAATTACCCATATATGTAGGTTATTTTACGCAGTGTATCGTATATCATATTTAAAAATAAAATTTAAACAAAATTTACAGCTTGATTTTTTATTACAAAAAAAATATTATAGTTTAACCCTTTTAGAACCAACCTTTTATTAGAAACAGCGAGGACCAAGGGGGTCAATAAATATATATCCACATATATATTATTCAAACACGTACTTATTTATTAAAAGTAATTTAAAAATAATACTTTTACTTTACAAATAAATAAGTATTCATAGATGTTAATGTTAAAAAGATAAGAATTTATAGTTTACCCGGAGTCTTCGGCTTATGTTGAATTGGCATCATGGCAGAATATACAAACATTTGACTTCTTGCTGTGCTTACCGCACACACGCTTTTGTCATTTTGAACAAACTATGGTTGTTTTTGCCAACTTATTAGTCTTTTCTCTTCTAAACTGTGCTAATTTGTAACATGAATGGCATCATACCTATCTATGTTGGAATAGTATTGAAGGTACAATTTGGAAAAGTTTGCATTCGAGTATATTTTCCATGGCATGCACTACAAAATGATGAAGTCCATTTAAATTTACAGCTCTTCTTTTAATAAGCTTTAAAAACATTGAGTTCTGTGTTATTTACAGATGAAGCTACGTTTTCTCTCTGCCCTGAATCAAAAGGAGTGAGAGTTTGGAGAGAACCTAGTCGACAAGAGAGATTCAGGCATATACAGAGTGTTCGTCCGCCCAGTGATCTGCAAGTTATAATGTGGATTGGAATAATTTTATTATCGAACTGTTTTCGTTTTTGTAAAAGGCACCTTGAATTAATACCAATTTATTATTCATATCTTTTGAATCTGTTGTTTTTCAATTTACCACTACGGGAGGTCCTATTCGCATTACATGCAGGATAACACAAGGCCACATACTGCAGCAACATTAAGAGACTGGTTTCATAATAAAGATCTTATACTTTTATCGTGGCCAGAACAATCGCCAGATCTAAATTCCAGCGAGTGTGTATGGGATATGCTTTAAAGATGGATTCCTCCTTATCTGCACAATGTTCATACTGGACAAGGTCTTCAAGATCGTCTTACATAGAATGGATCCTATTGCCTCAAAACAAAATTTATAATTTAATTCTAAGTATACTAAGGCGGTGTCAACCTGTAATTATTGCTGCAGAGGAAACACAGATTATTAAACACATTTATTGTTAGATTTTTATGTATTATATTGACTTTTATGTTAAAAATTTCCACTTAATTAGTGTACTTCCTAATTTTTGTTTGATTATTTCACCATAGAGAAATTATGTTGCACTGAAATTAAGATAAATATATTGCTAACTAATCAGACATTATAAGATATGTCACTTTTTAAAATTTAATCAAAATTGATGTAGAAATGAGAAAAAACTTTGTCGTCCTAGTTTTTTAAAATTTAATCAAAATTGATGTAGATAATGAGAAAAAACTTTGTCGTCCTTAGACATTTTAATCTGTTTACTTCCGTAGATAATACTTACTCACGTAAATACATATTGAATGAATTTTTTAATAACAGTTTTTATTTGCTTTTAGTGTATGGTAGAAACAACAAACATAGTAGCCAGTGGAAACGAGCTGATTTTATTGCGGCATAGTGACATTCGGCCGTTGGCTCAGCATGCAACAACGCAAGGACTTTATTCAGCCCTTGACAAATGCAAAGATATCGTCGTAGTAACAGATGACAAATATAACTTACAGGTAGGCGTGATGCATTAGGTTGATTGATGCATTGATTATTTTTTTCAAAGCATTGCAAAGAAATGACTTCATTTTTGTAAAAGTAGTTTTAGTCATTGCTATTCTACGTTTTATTTCTATGTCTGGATCTAGTTGGTCCGTTATCACAGTTCCCAAATATGTCATTTTGTGAACTTTCTCAACTTGGACTCCGTTCAATTGAAGCTTTGATTTCCTCTCCTACCTTGTGAATACGATCAAGCAGAATTTGAAGACCTTCAATATTATCTGATAGAATTACTGTATCATCTGCATATCTAATCACATTAAGTAGTTCCCCGTTGATTTTTATTCCATATGGTTGTCTCTCAAGTGCCTTTTTTAATAACTGGTCCGAGTAAACATTGAACAATGTTGGCGACAAAATGCAATTTTGTCTGACTCTTCGGTGTATGGGAATTTCATCGGTGTAGTTATCTCTAATTTTTTACGATAGCAGCTTGATTCCAGTACAAATTTTTAATGACACGAATATCCTTGTCATCTATTCCGATATTTTTTAGTATTTGCATTAATTTTACATGCTGTACTTTATCGAATGCCTTTTCGAATCCACGAAACATGCAAATACATATTTTCTTTGGTCACGGCATTTTTGTAATAGGATGTTAAGCGCAAAAAGTGCCTCCCTGGTTCCCATAGCATTTCTAAAACCAAATTGGGTATCTTCAAGATCTTCTTCGCATTTGCGTCTAATTCTGTTGTGAAGTATTCTGAGGAAAATTTTAAGAGTGTGTCTCGTTAGGCTAATTAATTGATATTCTGAGCATTTTCTCGCATTGTATTTTTTAGGTATTGTGATAAAGATGGATTAGAACCAATCTGCGGGAATCACTCCGGTGTTATAGATTGAATTAGAAAGTCTTACTACTTCTTTTATGTTATCATTCTCTATTAATTTCAGCAACTCAGTTGGTGTATCATCTGGACTTACAAGTTTTTCTAATTTTAGCATTATTTATAGCATGTTCTACTTAGCATTTCATAATTTCTGGGCCGTCAGTACAGTTTTTGTAGAATTCGGCAATATTATTCCTGTCATCTTCAAACAACTCTGATATATACAGCTGCCATTCTTTTCTTATTTCTTGCTCATTTACAATAATTTTGTTATTAGTGTCAACAAGTATAGAGGGAACTCGTTTTTTAAATATTTACTCATTTCTTTCAGTTTTTTGTGCACATTAAATAAGTCGTGTTTAGATATTACATCCTCCATTTCGTCGCACCTTTCTCTCATCCATTTTTCTTTGACTAATTTGATCTTCTTTTTTATTCTTCTCTGCAGGTGTCTATATTCTGTTACATTAGATTTTATCAGTCGACGTTGTTCCATTAATTTCAAGATGTTGTCTGTCATCCAGTTATTTTTCTTGATTGTTTGTGGAGATTAACTTGGTTTTTAAATTCACTCCATAGTTCTTCTGGATCTTCTAGTTGTTCTCATGTTTTTTATTCTATTGTTAAATTCTTTTTTAATGTTATATTTTATGTTTATATCGTCAAAGTTAAGTACATTGGTTTTTGGTTTTTGTCGCTGAATTCGTTTTAACCTTAGTTTAATATCGAGTAATATATAGATACCATTATTGAAGCCAAATTGCGTGTGACATATATCTAACTCTAAGTTCAAGTATAGTCTGAAATAAATTATTTTAAGAATGATTTTAAGAGTTTTTGACCTGACACTTATAGTGGTCCTTACATTGTTTTGATTTTGCTTTGTTAGGTATATAAATAAATGTCGATGTTCATGTCACTCAAATGAGTCTCGATTCATGTTGCATTCCATGCATAACCATTGCCCTCTCTAGAATCTTGGAACAATTCTTCAATATATTCTTGCAACCTTTCTGCCGTCAAATGATGTCGTCTGCTTTAAAATAGCGATGAGGTCTTTCTGTCTTCTACCGACCACAATGCGATGGTGATGACTAACTTCTTCTCTTATTATTTTTGTGTAGATATGACTCTGTCTATTTTTCATTGTGCCTCAGTAAGTTGTCGTTTCATTGTTTTTCCCAATGATCGTCTTCCTATTGGGGAACCGTCTCTTTTACCACTTTATTTCTTATCATTCGTCTTATATGATTGTTCCATTCTACTCTTCTATTTCCTACCCAGTGCTTGATGTTCTCTACGTTGCATCTCCGTCGTATATCTGTACTTCTATACTTCATCTAATTTACATACCGATGTACGTCATTATCTACGTCAGAGATCGAAGTTGACATAATTGCCAAAGTATAAAAAAATCCTGACTCCATTTTAAATCAAATAGATCACATAATTATGGCAAAAGTATTACCATCTCTTTACAGCGACTATTTAAATTCTTACGTGACATTTTTGAAATAAAACACACAAATTTTGTTCTAAAAAGAACAGATTTTATTAAATAGGTAAAAATATAAAACAAGAGGTATTCACTTTAAAATTCAAAATAAGTAATAAAATACAAAAAGTGTCAACACCGCAACTGTCAAATAAGTGTTACCAATTTATGCCAACATTTTAGCTTCGTTCGATTACAGTTACAGTGTGTTCCGAACAAATGTTCTTCATAAAAACGCTTTATAATGCATTTATACAAATTAAATGAAACATATTATTGTGTATTTCTTTAAGTTAACATTAATAGAAATTTTTAAAGATTATATCTACCCGTATATAATAAAATATGTCTAGTGGCTGTAATGCTAGTGTACTCGGCAAAGTGATTCTAAAAAAGAACACACCTACCGCCTAAATGTTTCGTGTTGGTATCATGTAACGTCACGGGCTATGACGCCGATGACGTGCATCGGTATGTAAATTAGATGAAGTGTAGCTCTGTCCCATAGTGTATAACCATCTATTTTTCTAAGGGTTTTCATCTATGCTATTTTTACCATTATTTTTGTCCTCTCTGTATGAGGTCATGTTTCTGTCGCATAGTCATTATTTAGACCATATTAAAGTAGTCTGTCCATGTTTCCTTCTGAATGTGTTTCATTTTTATTAGTTTGTTCATCACTTTTGTTTGTCCTGTGATAATTCCCCATATTTTTTTGTGTTCCGTAGAAGTTGTATTTCATATGTTTTGAGAAGTTCTACCAGTGTACCTTTTTATTTGTCTGACTAAAAGATTCGTCATATTTATAATTCGTTTATAGTTGTTGTATGCCTGTTATTGTAAAAGGGCTTTCTTATTTTCTTCACATTTTGTCTTCACTTCCCTCTGGAAACCATGGGTTTTCTTTTTTGATATGTTAGTGTTCGTTACTTTTCTCTTCTCCATGTGATTCTGTTGCTGCGTGAGTGTTTCCCAGTTCTCATCAATGTTATCGTTTTATAATAATTGATGCTTAACAATCTTCTCTGATATTCTTTTTCTTTATAACTCTTCCGTGGATTCCATGAATTTTAGTTCTTTGACTGTGATTTTTGTTTGTGTCTTACGTCGATAGGGCGAAATAGGTCATAATGCGAATGGAGTGCAAAGTTTTAGACCGAAAGAATAAAATATTCATCCCTTTTGGTACATAATACGCTTCCACATATAAATCTAATTACAAAAAAATTGTTTTTAGTAGGTTAGAGCTGTCTAAAAATGTAATTGGGTTATATATTTTAATTTTTTAATCCACAAATATTTTTGTTTTAGTACATTAATAGGGCCTGCGAAAAACAACTCGGCCTAAGGCAAGAAGAAGTCTTGGGAAGACCTCTTCAAGATCAACTTATGTTCGATCCTGTCCAAGTAAATCCAATGGGATCATCTTTGCTAAGAGGAAAAGAATGGCACGGTTCCATAACGCTCAAAAAGAAACCCTTAGAAACTATTTTGGCTTCTTGCAAAGCTGTCCCATTTGCATGTGCTGGAAGGTATGTATATGTAAATTATATTACATTATATATAATGCACTATTATTGTGCACGAGATTCAACGTACACGTCGGTATGTAAAGTAAAATCATGGGACCGAAAATGGTAGAATATATTGGTTGTATATATATATTATATTATTGTATATTTATATACATATTTTACATTTATGACATTCGTACATGCCATGTGACTAACGGACTCACGTGCGTGAACGGGCATAAGTGAAATTCAGTAACCATAAGGAACGTGGAAAGAAAACCACTCAAATAAGTAATGTAGCTGAGATAATGTTTAACAAAAATCTTAATTATTAGCACTGTTTCTGAAGCCTAAATCGTTCTCATAATGCGTTTTAAACGTGAAAAGTGAAGAGAATCCAGTTTAAAGTTTAGAGTTTTTTAAGCATAATTCTAATGACTCATATTTTTTTCAAAGTTTAAAATCGAAATCGATAATATATGGATTAATAGTTTTGAAGAATAATGAAAACAGCAACCGGTTAATGAAAGGGATAAATTTAATTGATCTCATGAGAATCATAACAAATCGCAAAAATGTCGCAACGTTTATTTACTTAATACTTTATATAAACTGACTTCATTTGCGGCAAAATGACAAAAGCGGCGATCGTCACCTTTAAGAAGCATTTTGATTTTTGTCGACATTCTAATCAAAAGATTTTATTAAAAAAATGATTTCGCGCTCATTCAAAATCGCCGTTCACTTCAAGCGTTGTTTCTGAGGAAACGGTTCATTCTACAAAAAAGTGCTAATAAACATTTTTGTTCAAAATTGAAAACTTTTTTACAATAACAACATATCTGTATTTTTAATGTTTTACATAAAATAGAAAAAACCTCATTTCTTTGATATAATTGGAAATTGGAAACTGGATATTATTTATAGATATGCTAGAATAATGTGCATTTGTTTGAACATGTAGGGTAATTTCCATTGAAGGTCGTTTTAAAAAAAATAAACAGAAATCTTACATTGACATTTATGTCGTTTTTGTAAAATTTTGTTACATATATGTAGTTTTTGTGCTAAACTAATGGGTATGTAAGGAGATATATGTTATTTTTTTTAAATTGTTCTGAAGCTATTTTCTTGTGGCATTTTAAAGTAATTACTATTTAAATGGGAATAAGCCACAATTAAAGGGGAAAGTAAGTTTATTGACGTTTCAATTTCCACTTCGGAAATCGTTCTCAAAATACGACCATCACTAATGTTAGTAAGGTAACATCGCCAATAAATGGACCAAATGGAATTACTGCTTCTGTCAAAACATCCTCTATATATCGGTGAGCATTCGGGGACCATTGACAAACCATGACACAACCACCACCAAACTTTCTTGTCTGGGACATTAAGATTGTGCATATCTTTTATTTCTCCGTCGCCAGACTTCAAACAGAACCGCTATTGATCATTAAATAGAATTCAGCTCCAATCCTGTATATCCCAGTGTTTTACATTTACATTTCGAACCTCCTGCAAACGGATTCTTGCAGAAATTGGAGTGAAATAGCGATTTCTTAAAAGTTTCATCACAATAAAACGATCATCCCTTTGTGAGGTAACTTTTCTACGACCAAAACAAGGTCGACGTGAGTATGTACCAGTCTCTATAAAGCGATGGAAAGTTCTCCGTACTGTAATTCCCGGAATAGCTAAAGCTTCGGATACAGGAACTTGACTTCTTCCGTCTTATAGCATCCCAATAATTTGAGCAACATCTACTGTAGATAACACCATATCTTAATTATTCACTTAGTCGAAATCCACCTTTGAAAAGCTAAATTACTGTTTAGTTAAATGTTTCCAACTTATAAGATAACCTGCAAAACAACATAAACGCCAAAACTGCCAAAAACAAGCATACTATGATCTCAATAAATATTTAAATTGAGACGCAATATGAAACAGTGCATAAAGTTTCTAATGTATTTTAATTTTCGGAAATTTATAGTGTGGCCAAATTTTTGCCGTTCAGTGTATTTTATATGCTACTTAACAGAGAATATTTGACAAAAAGTAAATTTAAGTCACTTGTATTTTTTACCGCATATTATTATGAATACGGCGACTCCTATTCTATTCTGCCAGAAATAAAATCGTAGAAAGCCATTTTGGAATTCTCTTAAATACGGAGAAACCGTGTTTAAAACGGGAACTTGGATGGAATTTAGCTATATAATTTTCCAACAGATGGCGTTAGAAGCTATAAAGCTACCATATTTAGATAAACTTCTACTAATATAAATTATTGCAAATTTTTATATTTACGTTTCACACTGCAGCCATGAAAATTTTTATTTTCTATCCAGTGCACATTGGACGTTATAGTAGTTAAATGATTCGCAGCCTATAGAAAAAAAATATTGATAAAATAGTATATTTTTATGCTGTTTTTGTTTTTTCTCCGATTGTAATTTGTCTTCTTTTTTATGTGCTAACTCTTTCTCCTCTATTAAGATTATCAATCATCATGGTCTTTATTTAATCATCATGGTCTTTAATTAGCCCGTGTTAAAGGCTTCCAATACAAGGCGTCTCTAATACATTTTTTTAGTGTTCAATCTTCTATTTCATTGAATACTATAAAAAATACATATTTATTGTCATCACTATTTTATATTTATTATTTTTATTGATTTGTTGCTATATGTTTATATTTCTGCACTTTCTTAATTTACTGTGAATGCATTCCTAGGCTTTCGTGTTGGTTAACCTCCATTGATGGAATTGATGGAGACGACATATAAAGAAGAAGATAATGCACATTAACACTAATAATAAAAAAGATAAAAATGTTTCATGTATATATGCTAGGCCATTAATGACCTAGCATAAAGACACATAATTCGTTGCGTGGGTCTCCTCTCTATTTACAGTCACGTGACACGCTGTCAGATTTGTGAGGACGTTTTAGTATTGAGTGTTATGGGATTATTTTGTTAAACTTAAATATTTTATTTTGTAGTGTTAATATCCGGATACAATTTTTAGAATTAATTAGTTATTTATTTATAGCGACATTTATAGTTCAACAAAAATATTTTTTGTCGTTAATAAAGATTTATTAACATAATCTGCGAAAGTGAGGTTATATATACATTATCAACATCCATGGTACAATGAATATGTTCATTGTACCATGCCACAGAATAATAAACAATTGTTTATTATTCTGTAACCATGCAGAAAAGCGTCCTGATAAAATTTCAAGCAATTGCCACCACGAGCAGGTCAGTCAATTTTGCTTTGACACTTTGTTAACCCTCGGAGCGAATACACAACCTTTAACACATTCTGAGCCTGTAGTCTATAACAGACATTCTGAGTCTATAACACATTCTGAATTGAAACAAACCTAATACTATGACATTATCTGTCCTTTTTCTTTAAAGGGTACTATATTTTCTTCTTCTTTCTCCGATTTTTCTTTTTCAGGGGTCGCTAGTCCTTAGTCTTCTTCGCCACTAATTTATGTCACTGTCCGCCACAGTCTACAATCTTCTTCTCGGTTTTCCTCTACCGCTCTGTTTATCGACTTCTAACAGCTCTATTCTTCGTCCCACATAGTTTTTATTTCCACGTCTGATATGGCCAAAGCATTAAATGTCACTTCTAGTCTTACCCAACATCCACAGTACATTTCATTTCAGCTACCTGCATCTTATTTTCCTGAATCCTCTTTACATGCTCCGTTTCATCACCGTACACCAACGCAGGCCTTACCATACTCTTGTATATCATTCCTTTCAGCCCTTCCCCGATTTTTCAATCATAAAGTACCAGCCTTTATCCTGTGGGCAATTTCTCGGTCCACTGTCCCATTTTCCGTTGTGCACGAGCCAAGGTATTTAAATTCTCCTACTCATTCTAGTTTTTTTTTTCAAAAATTCGATTTCTCTAACCATTTCTGCTTCTCCTAGCTACATATACTCTGGTTTCGACCTGCCAACCGTAAGTCCTTCCTCTACAACATCCGTTCTCTACTTCACCTCTCCAATATTTTTTGCTTTCATCCACTAACACGATATCATTAGCATTGACCAAGGAGCACCCTCCCTTACCTTCTCTATCAGTACACTCATAACAATATTAAAAGATAGGGAATCAGTAAAGACGCACACCAACCGTCACTGGGAATCTTTCGGTCAATCCGACACAAGTCGTTACTTTGGTGAACGCTTCCCCATACATACTCTTCACAAGTCTTACGTACTTCTGAGAAACCCATATCTCTCTTTTATTCATACATCTCCATAGCTCTTGTCTAGGAACTGTGTCATACGCATTCTCAAAATTTCTAAATACTGTAAATGTAGCTCTCTTTTCTTCTCGCCGTATTTCTCTATCAACTGTCTCAAAACAAAGAAGGCATCCGTTGTCTTGCTTCCTGGCATAAACCCAAACTGTTTTCCTTCTCTCTGTGTCTCTCTTCTTAACCTTCGATCTACAGTTCTCTCCCAAATTTTCATCATATGCGACATTAACTTTATTTCTCTATAATTCTTACAGTCCTGAGCTCCTTTCTCTCTCTCCTAGAGCCTTCCAAGCATCCATCAGGTCCTATTGCCTTACCTTTCTTCATCTTATTTAACGCCTCGACACCTCATCTCTCGCTATCCCTGGTATTGCATTCTTATTTTGGATCCCGCAAAGTGCACTAGATGGCGCCTGATAAAATATCAAAAAACGCCCATCATGTAAACATAATTTGCAACTCTCTACTTTAAACAAAAGTATAAAATAATATGTAAACCACATTTGAAATTGAAGTAAATGATTTTTAAAGAGAAAAAAACACTCTAATGTTACATCCTAATTTATTTTTATCATAGATTGTAAATATGAGTTCACCTCCTTTTGTTGTTTTTAGGCTACCCACGCATTTCGTCCTCGTCTTCGATTTGAACCCCACGGACCAATTAAATATGTTAGCTCAATCTAGAGGTAGTATCCATTCTATAAGAAGAGGTTCAACAGATGTAAGGAGTGTCGGCAGTGACTTCTTAAGGCGGACATCTCTTGCCAAACTTAATGCTTTGCCTTTGGAAGCGCCTATTACAAAAGTAAGTTTTATTCTCTTGAATGTAATTTTTGTTTGCCATATTTACTGTAAATATGTTCGATATTACAATCAAATTTATAATGACATTACTAACAAGACAATGTTACTGTTATGTCAATGTTTATGTTTTGACAGTTACTTGTATGTTTTCTCCGTGAGAGTGTTATATTGCCTTCGGAATATGGCTCTTTCTGGTCACGAACGATCCTTTTTGGCACTCAAATTGCCGGCTCTGAACCGAAGTATTTTGTAGCTAATGTTCTTTTGCTCAGTGCATCATCTATCATTACCCTATAATCGCATACTAGCAAGAGTCCACCTTAGCGCTTTTAAGAACTCCAATGTCTGCTTAGCTCACGTTGAACATACAATATTGTGCGTATTTTTTTTTTTATTTGAGAGCGTTTTTTTTGATAGTTTTGTGCATTTCATTGTAAGTTAAATTAACTTATATAAATAATTCAGTCGAATTGAATTCAATAGGATATCATGGTGAGTGGAATTTAAATCGATTTCAACAATTCTCGAATGCTGATATTTTTTACTCTAAATTTTCCTCACACAGGTTTAATTAGATTGAATACATTGTGAAATTCGGATTGTTGATTGACATCTAATACATTCAAATGCATTTTTCACGTCATTCCCGTACAATTATTCCCCCAAAGTGACAAGCAACTGGTCGATTTATACCTAAATCACGGAAAAACAGGACATTATGGGCTTCAGCATCAGACAAGCAAAGAGCATTTAAGCTGGAAAATCTTCGAGTATATGTCGCTGAAACCTGTTTGTCTGAATCATCTGAACAACGAGAAGTGAGGTTCATCTGAAACACTGAACAACAGGAAAGAAAGCTAAAAAATGTTCGAATAAGCATCGCTCGATCAACACTGCATGTTGATTTAAATCTTGGTGCATTCCGTTGTGACAGTAATAATAATAACAGTCTTCATCTAAGTGTCGTCTATTGCAAGAACAGATAAAATGTGTATGTATTGTAGCGACCTCAAATTTGGAACGAAACGTCAGGAATATGCTGCGCCAGTGGAAAAGGTAAACTGGCAGAATTGCATCCACCACCCGAACCACTATTAACGTTGCTATCAAATGTCACACGTGAGTCAAAGCATTTTTGGAAAGCATCGCAAATACAATTCATGTTTCCGAATAACATCGTTCGGTGCATCGAACGTACGATGTTCATGCAAAAATTGCATGCCAACATTCAGAGTCCAACGGCAAATTTATAATCGTTCCTGATCGCTTCTACCATTAGCAGACGCAGATCACAAGTTTCTTCAAATTCATTTGGCAAACATTGATAAATAATTGAACAACGATGTTACTATAATGCGAGCATTTTAATGACATCGAGAAATCGTGGCTGCGTTACAAACCCTTTTTGATCAACACAATCAATTCGTTCAGTTGTTTAAAACAGCCATTCAACGAATGCCAGCCAATGACTTCGCAGTTGTAATTCGAGCTGACAAAAGACCCGTTGGCCAACACGAAAAACAGTTCAATGCACCAATAATCAATGAAGTGGCGATCGTGATAGTTGGCGCAGATTTCAAATCGCGTGACATTATTATTCATCGCAGAAGTAATGATGTTCGGCGAGTCTCCGAAACTCATCGCTCATACGACGAATTGGCAATAGATAGGAACATTTGTTAGGACAAATCTTTTTCAGTTGGTTCCAGAACCAATGGATGCGCCTGGTGATACAGGCAAAACTTTTCTTCTTTCACTCATTTTGGCAACCATACGATCACAAAGTAATACTGTACTGGTCATTGCATCATCTGGAATTGCTGCAACTCTTTTGGATGGTGGCCCAATAGCGCATTCAGCATTGAAACTGCTACTGAACTTGTAAAATACTGAGGCACCAAGATGCAATATCGGCAAAAACTCTGGAATGGGAAAAGTACTCCAAACGTGTCAAATTATTACATGGTACGAATGTACAATGTCTTACAAGAAAGTATTGGAAGCGCTTGATCGTACACTGCGAGATTTCAGAGGAAATGCACAGATCTTCGGTGGCACACTCATTTGATTGTCTGCTGATTCTCGACAAGCACTGCCAGTCCTACCACGTTTAACATCCGCTGATGAACTTAATGCTAGTCTCAAATCATCAGTTTTATAGCGTCATTTACAGAAATTTATTTTGAAAACAAATATGCATGTACAACTACAATGGGATGCATCGGCTGGAAATTTTGCAAAACAATTAATGTATATTGGAAACGGGCGAATGCAAATGTATAAATCTACGCAATGTATCACTTTGCTAGCAAGCTTCTGTAAGATCACAGAAAGCATAGACCAATTGGTGCAAAAATGTTTCCCAAACATTGCACAGAACTACAAAAATCATCAGTGGCTCAGTACGAGTGCTATATTAGAGGTCAAAAACATCGATGTCAATACCATCAACCATTTAGAATGGAATACCCGTCCAAAAAACAAAATATAATTCCAACGATTCTGTGGTAAATCAAGACGAATTTGTCAACTATCCAAGTAAATTCTTGAATTTGCTTGATTTGCCAGGCATGCCACCGCACGTACTTACATTAAAAATTGGCGTACCTATCATTCTTCTTCGAAACATAAATCCACCACAGCTTTGGACAACGGTACCAGACTCTCAGTAAAGAAAATGATAAAAAATATTATCGAGGCAACAATTTTGACTGTAGAATTCAAAGGTGAAGACATAGTGTTGCCACGTATCCCAATATTCCCAACAGATATGCCATTCCTAGTGCGACTCGCTTTCGCAATGACTATCAACAGAGCACATGGACAATCGTTGCAAGTGTGTGTGGATTAAATTTGGAGAATCCATACTTCTCACATGGGTAGCTCTATTTGGCTTGCTCGCGCGTTGGAAAACCTTCTGATTTATTCGTTTACACACAAGAAAAAAAACACGGAAATATTGTGAGTCCCACAGCACCTCCATAAATATCGAATTGAACAAAATGAATTGAATATTTGTGATATGTCTTTTCTTTAAATTTATTTTAGTTAGTGCTTTAGCAACGCTCCCAGGGTACAGCTAGTATTCTATAAAAATCGCGCTTTTTATATCCGTTAATTATTTATATTTGTAAATAGGTAAAAGAAATAATAAATAAAACTTACTCACAATCAGTTTAATTTAACTATCTAGACGACCGGTTTCGCTTTCTACAATATGCAAAGCATCTTCAGGTCTCGATACAAAGTTAATTAAATGCTGAAATAATAAAACCCATATTAGGGTGTTGTCTTATAAAGATAAACAAAGATAAATGATATAAATTACAGTAATTATGCCAATATTACATGTCTGTGGTTTTTCAAAATAAATAAACTGTTTAAGCAGACAAGGTAAGACCCACAAATTGGTATAAAATAGTCTATTGAATTGTAATAAATTAGTTAATAAATAAAACATTACTTACATGCCGGTACTCTATTAATTAATGGTTGGAAGAACATGGTTCAAACTATCCTGTATTGTTGAATGGAGAACTTAAGTTTTGCTATTGTAATTGTTTGACAACGGAGTCAGCAGAGGAAACCGTCGGAAAAGCCAAAAGGCAAAGAAATGCGGAATGGTATGATGATGAATGCAGAACTGCAGTAGAGGAAAAAAGGCAAGCTAGGCTTAACCAACTTCAAAGAAACACAAGAAATAGCAGTGAGATTTATAACGAAAAAAGAATACAAGCGACTAGAATATGCAGAAGAAAGAAAAGAGAGGCTATGAAAAAACAAGTACAAGAAATCGTAAAGCATAACAACAGACGCGAAAGCAGAAAATTCTATAAATGCATAAAAGAAAGCACACAGTCATTTAGACCAAAACTAACGATATGCAAAGACAAGGACGGAGAACTACTAACAGAGAAGCAAAAAATTATAATGAGATGGAAACAATATTTCGAAGAAAATCTAAATGCAGACAACGAAAATGATCAGAACGAGACAATATATTATACGGCGGAGCTGCACATCGAAAATCCGAGTTATGAAGAAGTAGTTCAGATAATAAATAAACTAAAAAACAATAAAGCACCAGGAACGGACGGAATTTCGGCAGAATTATTAAAGCATGGAGGATCCGAACTCTGGGAAAGAATCCATTACCTAATAACATTAATATGGACGAAGGAGCAAATGCCAGAGGAATGGACAGTTGGCCTCATACAGCCAATATATAAAAAAGGAGATAAGAGGGAATGCCAGAATTATAGGCCAATTACATTGCTAAATGTAATATACAAAATTCTTTCTGGTATAATCTACAATAGATTATTAGAATACTCCGAAAATATAATTGGTGATTATCAAAATGGATTCAGACCAAATAGAGCCACTACAGATAACATATTCATACTAAGAACGATACAAGAAAAAGCTTATGAATACGACATAGACCTATATAATATGTATATAGACTTTAAACAAGCTTTTGATAGTGTGAAAAGAGACAGAATGCTGGAAGACCTTTGTAATCTAGGTATACCTAAGAAATACATCAGCCTCATAAAAATGACGTTGCAGGGTTCAAAAGCCGCAGTCAGAGTAGATGGAGAACTGACTCCCCTGTTTAACATCAACATGGGAGTAAGACAGGGAGATGCCCTATCAACCATGCTATTCAACCTAGTTCTTGAGGCAGTCATCAGAAAAACCAATATAACCGGCCATATAAACACCAAATCAGTACAAATTACTGCATATGCAGACGATGTAGCCATCATTAGTAGGAATAAGCCACGACTAATGGAAGTGTTCAAACAAATTGATCCTGAAGCAAGAAAAAGAGGTCTCAAAATAAACGAAGCAAAAACGAAGTATATGACAGTCAAAAGAATAACTGACAATGAAAATAATATCACAATAGACAACTATACTATCGAACGAGTGGATGCCTTTACATATCTCGGCACAGAAATCAATCAGAAGAACTCCGTAAGTAGCGAAATTAATGCACGTATTTCCAGCGGGAATCGTACATACTATGCTAATAAAAGATTGATGACATCGAAATTATTAGACAAAAGAACCAAAATGACTATCTACAGAACACTGATTAGACCCGTAGTAACCTATGGATGTGAAACTTGGGTAATGACGAAAAAAGATGAAGCCCAACTCAGGACATTCGAGAGAAAAATACTGAGGAAAGTATATGGCCCGGTACAAGAGGAAGATGGCACATGGAGAATCAGGAGAAACGACGAGGTTAATGAGTTAAATGAAGGTTATGACATTGTAAGATTTGTGAAAAGTCAAAGACTGTCATGGCTGGGACATGTGCAGAGACAAAACGATGCAAAAACAACAAAGAAAATGTTACAATGGAAGCCCATAGGAAGGCGAAAAAAAGGAAGGCCCAGAACGAGATGGTTGGATGACGTGGAAGACGACCTGAAAACAATGAACATAAGACAATGGAGAAGAAGGGCACAAGAGAGATCTGAATGGAAGGACATAGCCAGACAGGCAAAGACCCATCCAGGGTTATGATGCCAAAAGAAGAAGAAGAAGAATTGTTTGACAATAAACAAGGAAGTTCTTGAGGAGATAGATTTTATCCAATGAAGTAGAGATAGGTGTAATGTGATTGTTTGTTAGATGAGAGTGATGTTCTATATTATTGAATTATTTAAAAGTTATTTATATTTATTCAAGAGATATATTTATGAAATGTGTGTTATTTATTGAGATTTTATGAAGGTGACAGTTGTATGACAATGAATGAAATTAGATGTACAATTGTGTGGGTGTGCAATTCTTTCAACTTGTAATTATCAAATTTCTTTGATAAAGTTCTATTGACTTACATATGGCAAATTATTGTAAAGTCCAGTATATAAAATTATTAAAATTAAAACAATTAAGGACACTTCGGGACACACAGAAAACACTTAAAAAGGACTTAAAAATGACGAAACACATTAAATTTCAGACATTCATGATCATGATATATATTTGTGTTTGCTATATTATATATATTTTAGGTTGTTGGTTTAATCGACCAAGCTAGAGAAAATTCAAACCAAAACCCTTCAGTGGTGCAACTATTAGATAAAGTGGAAGACATTTTGAAGAGCTGTGAGCTATATTCGACCCACGTAAAAGAAGATTTAAGAATAAAATCGGATGAACCGGTGGTCTCTGATCTGATCACAGCACTGTTGTCGGTAAGCTTATATATGCAACTAGGGTTGATTTTATACTTTATATGTTCGTTATGTTTTATAGAAACAGCCTCAACCGACATTAAGTGGCTCATCAAGGAGAAGTAGTAATGATTCTTCGGTATTTAGACAATCAAGGGGAGGACTGCTCAAGGTATGTTCTTGAAAATTATTTTGTAAGCCTAATTTATTATTCTCTAGAGCATTTTTTATAATATGTAAACGGTTTTATACATTGTCGCTGTAAAATCAAATCGGTATAGATGCAAAAGAGACATTTTTCAGCAGAGCGTTCCAAAGTTTTTACAATTAGGGGAAGTGTGCCTATGTTGGACCCCTGCCTATGACGGACCCCCGGCTGTAATTTTAAATAGCGCGCGGTTACATACACATCGCCGGTTGCCGCTTGCGCACGAAGTTTGTAGTTTAGTATTTGCAAAGTTTCAGACACGTGGCTGTTATAACAGTAAATTTGTGAAATAAAATTAAAATTTGGCGTTGCTGATCTAATAAATTTTTTTGGTAAGTAGCATTTTACTGGTAACATACGTTAAGCTAAGTGTTGCTTTTGTTTTGTATAAAATGACTACACTTTCTTTGTCAAATACTATACTTTGTTTTAGGTTAAAATGGTCAAAACAAAAGTAACAGAATTAAATTTGCTGCCTTGTCTATTTGCCTATGATGGACCCCTGTGTCGTTACCTATGACGGACTAGGGGTCCATCATAGGAAAAAGAAAATAAAATTGGACACACCTTCAGTTTTTGTTACTTAATGATTAACATAATATGTTTTACAGGGATGGCTCTACAAAAAAGGCAACAGTGGAACGAGAGTAATATGCAACAAGCTTTAAAAAGCATACAAGAAAAAACTATGGGGTTTAAGCTGGCAGCAAAAACATTTAACGTTCCAAAAACGACTTTGAAAAGGCGCTTTATTAAGCATCAAGGAAGTATCAAAGGTGATTTGGGAGGACGAAGACCAATATTCTCCACTACTATTGAACAGGAAGTTGCTGACCATATTATTACTATGGAAACTCGTTTTTTTGGCCTGACTAGTAAAGATTTGCGAAAACTTGTATACGAAGTAGCTGAAAGAAACAATATTAGCCACAATTTTAATAAGGAAACCAGGATGGCAGGCTGGAAATGGGTCAGAGGCTTTTTAAAGCGAAATCCTCGAATATCATTACGCACTCCAGAAAATACTTCGTTGGCAAGGGCTCAAGCTTTTAATAAACCAAATATATGTGCCTATTTTACTGCATTAGCAAATATATTAGACGAGTTTCACTTTCCACCGGAAAACATTTATAATATGGACGAGTCCGGTTTGACAACTGTGCAAAAGAAATCGCAGAAAATTTATGCTAGTAAAGGTCGCAAACAAGTTGGTGCTTTAAGTAGTGCAGAGCGCGGTCTACATGTTACGGTCGTATGTGCAATGAATGCAATTGGAACATATGTTCCTCCTGCTTTGATTTTTCCTCGACAGAGAAAGAAAGATGAACTTATGATCGATGCACCTACTGGAAGTATAGCCTTCGCTCAAGAAAAAGGATGGATGACTTCCGATATTTTCTATTTGTGGCTGCAACATTTTTTAAGGTATACAAAGGCTTCTAAAACCAACAAAGTTTTGTTGTTACTCGATGGCCATGGTAGTCACAAAAGTTTTGAAGCTCTCCAGTTTGCAAAGGAAAACGGTATTATTATGTTTTGTTTTCCTGCTCACTGTTCTCATCACGTTCAACCCTTGGACGTAGGATTTTTTAGACCACTTCAAATTTACTACGGCCAAGAAATTCAATTATGGCTGCGACAGAATCCAGGTAAAACGGTGACCCAATTTAAAGTAGCCAGTCTCTTTAATAGAGCGTATTTAAAAAGTGCTTTACCATCAAATGCAATCAATGCATTTAAAAAGACAGGAATACAACCATTCAATCCAGATGTCTTCGAGGATTGGCAATTTTTGCCGTCTATAACAACAGATAGAGAAAATTCTGAACAAAACCCACTGCCAGAATGTTCTGACCAGAAGTCACCACCGGAACATTGGAGCCAAAATGTTTCTTCGATTGAAAGTTTATCAAAAAGCCCCACTGATCAGAAATCAACATCATCGTCAGTTCTAAACATCTCGGTAGAAGATATTTGTCCTCCTCCTTTAGCTGGAGTATCTCAAGTAATGCAGAAAAGGGGTAGAAAACGGGGTAAAACAGGATATTTAAATTCAACGCCAGAAATTGAAGATATAAAACAAAAAATTGCAGACAAAGAAGCAAAAAAAAGGAAACAAGACGCCAGAAAAGTGAAAAGGCAAGTTCGTGTTTCAACTACAAGTGGTTCTGAAGACGATTGTGAATGCTCTTTTGTAGAAGGCGACTCGGACGATGCAGCTTGCATCTACTGTAACGAACTATTTTCGCATTCACGATCCAATGAAAAATGGATTCGTTGTCAAGTGTGTAAGAATTGGTGTCACACTGAATGTGCAGATGTAAATCCTCGACATAAACAATTTGTGTGTGAATTGTGCGCGTAATTTTTTTATTCTTAAAAATACCATGTGTAATATTTTTTATCGTTTGTAATGTCTTTTGATCTAATAAAATAATTTGGTATTTAATTATTTTACACAAAATGCAACGAGTCCATCATGGGCGTACCAAAGGGTCCATCATGAGCGCATATATGCCCATGATGGACCCTTAACAGGATTTTAGTAAATTATGAATAAATTTTTAACATCACTTTTTCTGCAAAATTTGAAACATTTGCCATATTGTACAAATAACGAGACGTTATGTGGTCATATTTAAAGTCTGCTAAGTAAATAATTAAAATTATTATGAAGCTATTTTCTTAAGGGGACCATCATAGGCACATTTCCCCTAGTTTTTTATCGCTTACTACAGTTTATTTTATCTACTATCTATCTAAATTATAGAGAAATATGCATAAATGCCACTATGACTTTAAAATTTGATTACTCTTTTCATTTAAGCCATAGTGACAACAGTATAAGGAACCTATTACAGGAAAGTAAAGAAATTTAAAATGGTTATAAGTAAGAAATTTATTGCTTCCCTATTTTTTTAAACATTAGCATGGATCTCTTTAAGTTATAAGAAATCATGATTTTTTTACCACTATCAATTTCATTAAGACAAAATATAAGGTAGGGCGTAAAGAATGACATATTCAGGTCCAAAATAATCTTTTGTAACTTAATAAAAGACAGATTTTTCTTCTGATTTTAAAAATCAGAAATTTCCAAAATTGTCTTTCAAAAAAACAAAAAATACAATTATTTTCACATCAGTCAATTTTTTTCATAGTTTTACAAATTACTATAAAATTTAAAATGTATTGCTGGTATTATCCCTTTAGTAACCAAATTTAGAATAACAGTTTTCTTTTTTTCATTAATAGCAAGTCTTCTAGGGTAAACTAGACTATTGATAGGTAAGCAATTTATGCATTTGGTGAGGTGTGCCAATTTTCTTTGTAGTTTATATAGACAATTGCATACTAGTGTGTCAAGTATATTGGTCCGATACAGAGAGCTCTTTTAACCTCTTTCTCTATGGTTGAATGAGCTGCATCTCCCTCGTTTTGTGTCTGACCTTTATTCAGAAATTGGTGCAATGGATTTTATGTTTCTTCTTCTTCTTCATGTACCATGTCCTTTCAGAACGTTTGTTACCATCATCTATCTTAATTTTATTCACTGCCACCCTAAATAGCATGCTTGTATCAACACCATACCAATCTCGCAAGTTCTTCAACCACGAGGTTCTTCTTCGTCCTGGACTGCGTTTGCCTTCTATTTTTCCTTGCATAATATTTTGTAGCAACCTATATTTGGGCCCTCTCATTACATGTCCGAAATACTTAGCTTTCTCTGCTTAATGCTTTTTATGATGTCAGTAGTCTTTCTGAGACGTTCTAGTATTGTAGAGTTTCGAATCTTCTCCACCCAGGAAAGTTTTAAAATTCTTCTATAGCACCACATTTCGAAAGCCTCAAGGCGATTTAGATCGATTTTATTCACAGTCCAGGACTCGACACCATAAAGTAAGACCGAGAACACGTACCAGCGAAGTAGGCGGATCCTCAATGCCAATTTTAGGTCTCTGTTGCATAACACCTTGGACATCCTTCTAAAAGCAGCTCTAGCCTGCTCTATCCTAGATCTAATTTCGCCGTGACTTTCTGCGTTACAATTTAATTGCTGTCCAAGGTAAACAATTTTATCAACTTGCTCAATTTTGGTATTATTTACATATATAGACGGTTTTATATGCTGTTGTTTACTTATTACGATTATTTTGGTTTTCCGTATATTTAGATCAAGACCCTCCTCCCTACAACTCTCAACGACACTATCAAGTAGTGTTTGCAGATCTTCTTGACTAGAAGCTAGGAGTACTGTATCGTCCGCATATCGAAAATTATGGATGACTTCACCGTTCACAAGTATTCCTTCTTGTTTTTTAGAAAGTGCTTTTCTGAAAATTTTTTCGAAGTAAACGTTGAAAAGCGAGAGTGACAAGAGGCATCCCTGCCGTACTCCTCTTTTAATATTTATTATCTTCATCACTGGATGATGTTGGGGCACAGACCTGAATTACATTGGTAATGTACGGCTTTGAACTAAATTTCACTAGCATTACTCTGTCAGATATGAGGATATAAGTTAGTACTGATTGAGCCTGATAGATTTTTGCTACTACGATTGCAACTCCATTATAGTGATTGGCATCGATATTTCCGGCATGGTACACTTGATATCCATCTAGGTCACATATTCCTGATCCCGGCCACCGCATTTCACTTATTCCGAGAATGCTGATTTGCATTCTTTTCATTTATTTTATGGCATTATATATTTACCTGACTCAAACATGCTTCTGACGTTCCATGTGGCTATTTTACAAGGATTTCGCATATTAACGACCTGAGAGGCCCTGCAGTCTTGAGATTGTTCTCTCTTACCGGATCTTGGGTTCCGAGATCCATGATCATTAATGTTTTGACTTAAATTATTTACAGCCATGATAGTTAAAACTAGGAGTGTCAAAAGGACAGTAGTTATGCTTTGCTTTCTGCATCCTTATGCAGTTAACTAATTTATAGTTTTATTTTCGCCTTTGGAATCAATTTCTCAATTCCAGGACAAAAGTGTGCCCTATCACTTACCAACTCTTTCGCCCGAAGCAGTTGGTCAGTAAGTGGGGATTGCTTATACCGGCAATTACTCTGACGCTAGAGCCTCGTTTGTTGTAAAGCAGGATGCACCGGATGATCAGAATCAAGATCATCACACGGGCAGGTGAGGTTGACATTTTGATAGGAGAGGCTATATATTACGCATCAGAATCCCTTACATCCCTATTTTATGTTTGCCAATGTTGTAACCGCATATTTGTACATGGTCATCATGTAGGCGTTTTTTACTGCTTGCAAAAGTTGTAACTATAAAAAATTACGTCAATCGCACTGTCAGTTTTGTCATTTAAGTAACGCACATATTTGAGTACGTATCTTGCAACTTCTCTGACCTCTCTTTTTCCTTTTGATTCATCCCAGGTGTAGCATTACACAATTATGTCAATCGTAAAGTTACAACTGGTTAGTTATGTGTAATAAAAGGATGAATCTTCCCCCTGCGGACAAGACATCATTGTCTGAAGTTTGTAAAGTGCTGGGATAGTAGACTAAGTTGTTTGTTATTCTCTTGTTTTGCCTGGACAAGTCCTTTTGCAAAATATGACTTCCATAGTCCACACGATTGTTTTGGTATTATTTTTAATTAGACAAATTTCGCATTGGTTCTTGTTAGATTTGTAGAAGCTTGAGCTGTCTGATTAAAAAATAACTCTGTCTTGGCGATAGCTGACCTTTTGGATATTTATCTCCTTCCGTTCTTTCAGGTAAACCCTGTGAAGTGCGGCGATGGTTTTTCCACCGCCAATATACTCCCGTCAACTTTTATACCTACAATAATGACTCGGAATTCTTGGAATTTTTTAAATATGAACGTTTGCACTAGTCACAAGTTCTTCATCCAACTTTCGATGGTTTTCATGCTTTTTATCCATTTCTACACTTAGCACACCTGTGTTTATATCTTTTGTTTTGAAAGTTGTACAAATCACACTGTTGGAGAAAAATGTTTTAAAAAAAATCTTGCAGGCACGCCTTTTTTCACTTTTGGATTTGATAAATTGTACTATTGAATGTTAACGAACAAAATCTTTGTTGCAGTAATAAAATTAATTTAAAGCTTTACCCTATGGAAAATAAACAATTTATTGACACAATCGTGTATTAGAATAACAATATAATTAATCGGTGTATCTCGCAAAGAGCCTTTATGCCACTGCATTAGTGTAGAACAAACCAGCACATCTTCTAAAATATCGCTTAATACTATGTTTTAAGATCATTCAGACAGTATTATTGATACCTAATGCTGGTTTAGTAGATATTCAAATTATTTTTTTAATAGAAAACAAGCATTTTGGCTTGTTGGTATATGCCAATTAATAATAATAAATATTAAATGCAAACCAGAACATTTGTCAATAATTAAATGAGACTCACTGATGTGAAAAGGTAGTATACTGAGATAATTAAGTTCTTAGTTAAGTTAAGTTAACGCGACGTTTAACGTTCCACCTTACCGTTTAAGAAGGGACTGGCGTATTGCACAAAAGATCTGTCTTCTGCTAAATAAAGTGACGAGTTCCTATATTATACAACTACATTATAAAAACTGGTTAAACGCCATTATAGATGAAGACTATAGGGAAAAAACCAGATATGTCAAAATTTCATAAAACCGAGAAAAACGCATATTTAACTTTCAAAACCATAATGTGTCGTACGTTGGAACGTATAAAAAAACTCGGGGGTCAAAATTGCTCCATAAAAACACATGAACGGCATTGTACTGTTTTTATTCAAAAAAATGTGTTACATTCCTTAAAAATCCAGAAAATTCTTATCAACCGCAATTTGTCCATTGAAAGAACCAGCTTAGTCATCTGAAACAGAAAATTGTCAATGCTTTCAATAATGAAAATAGCTTTCATTTTGATTAGTATTTCTATTGTGAATGATAGGTAATAATAAATACAGTAAAACCTGTCAATAACGGTCACTAAAAATGACAGAACTATTGGCCGATATAAAAAGGTGACCGCTAATACCAGGTTTTGTAGTCTACAAATTTTGGTTTGGGGAACTTTGAAACTGGCAGGCTAGTACAAGTGGCCGGTTTTGACAGGTGGCCGTTAACACAGGTTTTACTGTAACACGGCTCGTTAAAGATCCCTACCTCTGGTTGGAACACCATGGCATTCGTTAAAATTTTCCGTTGGTGGAAGCGTGCTCCGGGCGTCGGTGATTAGTCTTAATCGCAGAAGTAGATCGACGCCGACGTTAAATAAAGAAATAAAAAAATAATAATTATAATAATAATAATTTACCTGTTACGAGTGATTATAAAGTAAGACGGGGAAAAAGTCCACAGCTGCAGGACCACAGAATCTCATAAGGCTCATTAAATCGCTGTGCTTGGCTTTTGAAATTGCGAGGGGTCCTGAAACAACATACAGGAATAATATTATAATTTCTTGTGAAATCTTATACCTTACCTGAGTAGGCTGGTAGTGGTAATTCAAATTCTCCATTCTTTAACTCCGTAGTTGTTGAGGTCATTCGTTTCTTCAAGATACTTGACAAGAATGGTCCATTGTAAGAAGATCGATGATTTATGAGTCGACTGTGCTCTGATGTGGCACCAACCTCTTCCAAAACCGGAGTTTTGAAAGGGCATATTTTTGGATTTCCAGTCCAAAACTATTTTTCGTGTTACTTTCACGATGATGAATGGAGACGGCTTTACGCGGGACTCCCTGATCATATCTCTAAACTCTTTTGGTACTTCAAAATGCATTTTTAGATTCCACAGTTCAACATTTTTGTCACTCTCTAAGTATGAATGTCCACGGATGAGATACGTAATTTTTATTTCACGAAGCCCATGGAGTTTGGTGTTCACGATATAATGTATGAATCGAAATATTGTAAGATTGTTGTTTTGTCCTCCAGCTGAGTCACAAAAAAATTTTAACTCCTCAACCTCATCATCAAAAAATTTATTAATAAAATTTAATAAAAACGATGCCACCTCATTGGAACCTTTTTTGGCAATTCCCTCGTGGTAAGAGTAAGAAATTGATTAACCAGACAACAAGGCGTGAACATAAAAAGTGAGCTTGGTTCCCTTCTTCGTGAATAGAATGCCTCAGCCTTTTAGTAGTATCGGTGCGAGGATACCCGAAAGATATGTTAAACTCCTGTACAAAAATACACCAGTACGTTTCATACGATACGTGAACATTTGGATTTTTTTCTTGAAATAGAGAATACATTTTTTTACATTCAGTTTTATGAAATAACCGTTTTAGAAATGCGAACTTTTTCTACATGCCTGTTTATATTTTTACAAGAAACAAAACGAGTATTTCTATTATGTTATGTTATATCAATGCATAAATGTCTTGTTGAACATTTGGTCATTCAGAAAAATAATGATATTCGATATTCACAAATGTTTGTTCTTACAAAAAAACTTTCTATTATTGAAACACGCATTGTTTAATAAATAAATTAATCCAACGCTATCTACCGTGAAACTTGTGACATATCTGGTTCTTTCACTGGACGCATGGACAAAGCTGGTTTTTTCCCGGTACCCCGAAACTTTGAAGTGTTATTACTCATGACAAGACTACATTTTGCCCTGTACGATAGCTCTAAAATGTGCTTCTTCGCGTGTTCTATAACATACAATAGAAATCTGAAATTTGAAAAAAAATGACATGTCTGGTTTTTTCCCTGTAGTCTTCAAATATTGTCAAGACTTTTAAGACTTTTTTAACCAATTTTTATGGCGGTTTGACATAAAAATTGACAAAAAAAAAAGAAATTTTTTGATACCAATATCTCAAAAGTCGATTTTTGTACTTATGCGGTTTTGATTTTATAGCGACGACATATTCTTCTTGTTCTTTAATGTAGGCGTGTTGTTTCTTTCTTCAACTTTTCAGCTTCTTCAGAATAAACAAATATATTTGTACATAAACTATGTCCTCATTTTATGCGTTATTATACAACGAGAATGCGGTTGACAAGGAATAATTTTTTATTACCAATAAATGACAACATTTACTATAATTTAAGAGAATTTAAATAACCATAACTATCTGCAGCAATGAAGGACCAGAAATAGTAAAACCACGAAATAATAAACTAAAACCGGTTAAAACAACTCACTCTGGTTACAAAAAAAATGCTGCTAGCAAGAATGAATTTCAAAAGTGATGATAGGATAATGATTATGATAGTAATTACAGTGACATTTATTATATAAAGATATTTTACTCATACGCTTCAATTTTCAAATTAATGTTTTTTTAAGAGAAATAATCGTTCAATGATAGAGTATTAATAAAATACAAGATCACAGACGAAGACCTACAAAACCAAAACAGAGATAAAAATGTAAGAGAAAGAGAGAGCTGTCGAGAGAGCTCACAGATTGAAATGGATATGAGCTGGCCACGTGACGAGGATGAAGTATGGAAGGTGGACACACGCGTTAATGGAATGGAGACCAAGAATAGATAAATGAAACAGAGGAAGACGAAAGATGACGAAAAATTGGATTCACACTGTACAAGACCGTGCATTCTGGATACAAACAGGAAAGGCCTATATCCTGAAGTGGACTTAAAAGGGACTGATAATGATGATGAATTTGTTGGATTATATATTTTTATTTAAAAATATATCTTATCTCTTTTTTTTTTCTAATCGATCTAAAATTTTAGGTTCCTACGGTAATAAAAGAGTTACTGGATAACTGTCTATCGTGGGAATTCGATATATTCCGACTTGAAGACTTAACTAAGAAGAGACCATTACAATATTTGGGAATGAGTTTATTTAACCATTTCGAAGTTGCCAGTGTTCTAAACTGTGACGAAAAGACTTTATTTAATTGGTTGACAGTGATAGAAGCCAATTATCATATGGAAAACTCTTATCACAATAGCACACATGCCGCTGACGTTATGCAGGTACTTACTTCATTATTATATCTTTATATTCTCTATAATATGTATTATATATTATATATACTACAATAAATCATCCTCCAAATCTCATATTTGGACGTTTCCCTTTACAGTGTCTTTTCAGTTTCAGCTTTATTTATTTTGCGCCTTTATTGCTATTTGCCTACAAGATTGAGGCCAACTAAGTCACCTGTCAAATTGGTATCGTCATCCAGCGCCAATTTATACGTTTCGATTTCCACTTCGGAAATAGTTAAAAACTTAATTTCAAAGTAACATTGTGGCTTATTCCCAACAAAAATAGTAAATTGCATTAGGATATAGAGGATAGTATCTTCAGAACAATATTAACATGTAAATATTTATAAATTGGCGCTGGGTGACAATATCAATTTCTTCTTCTTCTTCAAGTGCCCTGTCCATTGCGAACGTTGGCTATTAACATGGCAATTTTGATCTTGTTTGCGGCGCTTCTGAATAGTTCGACCGATGTGAGCCCGAACCACTTCCGCAGATTTTGGAGCCACGAGTGTCTTCTCCTGCCTGGCCCTCGCTTACTGTCTATTTTTCCCTGGACAATCAATTGTAGCAGACGGTACTTATCGTGTCTCAATATGTGGCCTAGATATTCAAGCTTTCTTTGTTTAATTGTATTCACGATTTCTTTCTCCTTTCCGATTCTTTGGAGTACCTCTATGTTGGTGACATGTTCGGTCCAGGATATACGAAGAATGCGTCGGTACACCCACATTTCGAATGCTTCTAGTTTTCTCGTTAGCGTCTCCGTCAGCGTCCAGGCCTCCACGCCATACAGCAAGATCGAAAAAATGTAGCATTTAACTATACGTAGTTTTAGGCGAAGAGCAATCGTACATAAGATTCTACATGGTCAATTAATATATTACTTATCCGTAATTGTCGAGCAGGTTGTTGCTTTTTGCTTATCAGCATCCACTTTGTCTTCTTGTCAATTTCAATTTCACAGGTTATCTTTGTCAATATCAATTTCACAGGTTACTAATTACTTGGCCTCAATCTTGTAGGCAAATAGCCACAAAGGCTCAAAATACTTCAAGCTTAAACTGAAAAGAGAAAAGTTTATATATATATATAATATATATATATATATATATATATATATATATATATATATATATATATATATATATAATCTTTGCAGATAAGTTAAATAGTAAACTCTTAAATATTGGGGAAATCTGCAAGAAAAACTCTAATGAGTATCAATTGTTTCGCCGAACGTTTTCGCCAAAGAGAATTAATTTGGCTTCTTCAGGGCTGAAAGAGAATAAATTATAATTAGCTACCATATATTATCTATTAAAAAACATTATTGGTCTTACCGTAACTTAGAATTGTCGAGTTAGGATGTTAAAAAACTTAGCTAGTAACAACATAGTGGTGTTTTTTGTTACTATGTGCAAAAAAAGTTTTTTTTAACGTTGGAAATGTATGGTAGCTTTGAACTTAAAACGCAAAGGTTTACCCAAGGTTAATCGAAAAACCCAATGTAACTACATTTAAAGGAAGTAATTCTTTGAATTGTCGGCAATAACTAAATTTTTGATTGTTATAAAGTTTAAATGTGAGGTTCTGTTTTCTCAGAACGCATGTGCTGACAATTCAAGTAGTCTTTTGAATCTTTATGTCGTTAAGGTTCATTGGTAAAACCGAATGAAGTTAAATCCCAGTTTGGGGAATATATTTAAAATTCTAAATATATTTCCCCAAACTGGGATTTAACTTCATTCGGTTTTACCAATGAACCTTAACGACATAAAGATTCAAAAGCACTACTTGAATTGTCAGCACATGCGTTCTGAGAAAACAGAACCTCACATTTAAACTTTATAACAATCAAAAATTTAGTTATTGCCGACAATTCAAAGAATTACTTCCTTTTAAATGTAGTTACATTGGGTTTTTCGATTAACCTTGGGTAAACCTTTGCGTTTTAAGTTCAAAGCTACCATACATTTCCAACGTTAAAAAAAACTTTTTTTGCACATAGTAACAAAAAACACCACTATGTTGTTACTAGCTAAGTTTTTATAACATCCTAACTCGACAATTCTAGTTACGGTAAGACCAATAATGTTTTTTAATAGATAATACATGGTAGCTAATTATACTTTATTCTCTTTCACCCCTGAAAAAGCCAAATTAATTCTCTTTGGCGAAAACGTTCGGCGAAACAATTGGACCCCGTTATGCAACAAGGAACCAACTAACATTTTATCAAAAATCGAGTTATTGATTCCCACCGACTCCAAATAATATTATTTAGGTTTTGCAACAAGGAACCAACTGATTTTGGACATAGGCGACATCTAGGGGACGATAGAACCATATTGCAAATTTGTAAATTCGGTTGTACAGGTTTCTAATTCGAACCAAGTAACTTTGGTTCTTTGTTGCAGAAATCTGTAACCTACGAAAGTTGGTTCCATGTTGCAGATTTACTTTCCCAGCTGTGTATTATCGTTGAGTGCCAGAAAAATAACTTTGAAAATGCTTCAAAGCGAGAGATTTCTTTCGCAACGGGTGCAAAAAATCATGAATAATGTAAGGCTGATACCAACGTCTTCCACTGAAGCTTGTATTTCCAATTTGCAAGAGGTAGGTTTATTAATTTATATTTTTTTTACTTCTAACCTTAAAAGACCTCTAAAATTTTGTCCTATGACTATATTATTAGGTATTTTTATTTAATAGCATGTTATTTGCCAATTTTTAGCATAATCAGTCCTGCTTATTTATAGTTTTTTATTTAATTTTGATTTTTTTCCGAATATGTAAGTTGGTTCCTTATTGCAAAATTCTTTTTCAGGACTGGCAAAATAGCAGCAAAGAAAATCAGGGACCAAGTAACAGCAATAGTGATTCCCATAAACATGATGATATATCGATTATTAACGGTAACAGTTACGACGAAGACTCGGATGATTCCGTCAAGGATAAAGATTTCCAACCTACCTACAGCGACGTCTCATCCGACGAAAGTTTAGGACAACCTTCAGACCATAACTCGAACCCTAATGATGAAGCAGAAACTAATTTAACTGCAGATGTATCTTTCACGGGTCGTCCAAAAAAAGGAAGAAAGAAAAAATATGCTGAACAAGACAGAAAGGAAAGAAAAAGGAAAACGAACAGTAATATGGAGTATTACTCCGCTCGAGGAAAACTTGTTAAGTCAAAAGCATTTATCAAATTTGTGTGCTCATGTGCTGCAAGATGCCATGAAAAATTTTCTGCTGATGATCTCCAACAGTTTTTCGAACATTACTGGAACTTAGCGGATTATAATCTACAAACAACATTTATATCAACATCCGTTAGAGAACATTTTGCTCAGAGAAAAAATTCAAATGCGATAAATCCTGCAACACGACAGTTCTCAAGGAAATATTTCATAAATAAGGTTATAGTTTGTAGAAATATGTATACGAATACTTTGCAAGTGTCAACTAAACGTATAAATACTGCTCTACAAAAAGTAAGAAATTTGTCTACACTTGACAAACGAGGTGTTCGCGGTGGACACAACAAGATTTCAGCAGATGAAAAAAATATTATATTTAATCATATAAATCAATTTCCACGCTATGTATCCCATTACTGTAGAGCACGGAAGATGGATCAAGAATTTTTGCAGGAAGGAACTACTTTACCGATAATGTATGATCTTTACAAACCAAAAAGTGATAAACCTGTAAGTTTTTCATCTTTTAAAAAAGTTTTTTTGAGAGATTTTAACTTGAGGCTAAAAAAGCCAAAAAAGGATACTTGCAATAAATGTGATGCATTTAAAGTGAAGATACAAAGTATTAACGACGATGAAAAACGGGAAATTGTTAGACAACACGAATTACATGTAGAAGAGGCAGAATTAGGAAGAAAACAAATGAATATTGACTTGGCCAAGGCAATAGAAGACGAGCAAACAGAAACTCTGACCTTCGATTTAGAAAAAACGCTTCCTTTACCTCGCATATCTTCAAATATTATATTTTACAAAAGACAGTTATGGGTATATAATTGTGGAATTTATGCAGGTAAACAGAAAAAATCAACATTTAATTTATGGCTAGAAGGACAGGCAGGCCGTGGAGCCCAAGAAGTGGGATCTTGCCTAAGAAAATACATTCTCGCTAACATAAGCGATAAAGTTCAGCATATTATTCTGTGGAGTGACTCTTGCGGTGGACAAAACAGAAACATTAAAATAGTACTTTTGTTAAAATGTCTTTTGGAGGAATCACAGCATTTAAAGACTATTAGGCTGAGGTTCCTTGTTCCAGGTCATACGTTTCTGCCGAATGATAGTGATTTTGGAGATGTCGAATGTGCTCTTAAAAAGCAAAATAATATATTTTCACCTGAAGAATACAGCAATATAATGAGAACTTGTAGACAAAAGCGACCTATTAATGTAAATATGATGGTAAAAGAAGATTTTCTCAGTACCTCAAAATTAGAAAAACAAATCACAAACAGAAAAAAAAGTATTACGAACGAGAAGATAAGTTGGTTACGAACCAAAGAAGTTAAATTATTTAAAGATAAGCCTTATAATATTTTTTTGAAGACGACTTACCTAGACAATGACGATTACCAAGAAATTAATATACGGAAAGTAGCAGGAAGACAAGCTTCAACCGGACCACAGTACAACACGTTTTTAGAACCATTATGGCCTGAGGGAAAACCAGTTGCAGACGCAAAGTTGAGAGACGTACAAAGTTATCTTCATTTAATACCGTCAGCACACCACAGCTTTTATACAAATCTAACGGCAGACAATTCTATAATAGAGGATATAGATGGATTTAATGGAGATATAGATTTCGAACCAGACGTGGATATTTAATATTACATTTAGCAACAAAGAACCAAGTGATTTTTTTCTACCTTAGGAGTTCATATTGTACTTATGTATTTTACTAATATCATTAATACCATTTTATTGTAATAAAAGTGTTTATTTTATTGTCGTCAATCATTTTTTTATGCCTAAATAATTTCATGAAACAATCTAAACATTATTCTAATTTTTCTCAAAACTTTGGTAATGTTGGTTGGTTCCTTGTTGCATAACGGGGTCCAATTGATACTCATTAGGGTTTTTCTTGCAGATTTCCCCAATATTTAAGAGTTTACTATATATATATATATATATATATATATATATATATATATATATATATATATATATAGACACATAGTAAATTGCATCTATGTGTTAATAAAAATAAACCTAATTGTTGGATTGGTCATCCAAACGTCAAAACAAATGTAAAATGCAATTCGCATTACAATTAATTTAATCTGATATAAAAAATATTATACAATGTTAGTTTTGATAATCAAATCCCTTTTCATGGTTGGTAATAATCTTTTTTAAAGTGTAATCTATTTTCATTTTATATAAAACTTAAAATTTTGCATGGTATTCTTATGTACAGTATAGTTGTTATTTAATACAAGTTTTTTATCGGAGCAACGAATGCTTTGTTGTAATCTCATTAAGAAATATATTACTTTACACTGACACCTTATATTTTTTAGGCTACTGCGGGATTTTTGGAAAAAGATCGAATGAAATCTATAATAGAGCAACTAGATGAGGCGACTACTTTGATAGCAGCCGCTGCCCACGATGTTGATCATCCAGGCAAATCTAGCGCCTTCTTATCCAACTCAGACAATCAGTTAGCAATTTTATATAATGATGTGACCGTTTTAGAGTCACATCATGCTGCTCTTACGTTTAAACTTACTTTGGGTAAGTACTTAAATTCATTTATATGGTACAATCTAAAAATGTATACAGTTTTTCTTAACTAGATAAACATATTAATTTCGAGCGATATAGGTTTTTGAACAATTACAAATATTTTGTTTATTTAACTAATCATAAATTTATTAATATGCAATCTAGCAATTGAACACTTTTAATTAATTTTTGTGATTATTTTTTTTTACATTGCAGGTGATGAAAGAATAAATATTTTTAAGAATTTAGATAGAGAAACGTACAAAATAGCTAGAGCAAATGTGGTCGATATGATCCTAGCAACGGAAATGACAAAGCATTTTGAACATCTCGCCAAATTCGTCAACGTGTTTTGTACCAAATCTTCAAGCTCGGATCTGGAGGTACGTAAACTAAATTAAAATTATTTATTATCTCATACATTTTTTGAAATTCTTTAATTAACTACATTGTAAGATATTAACCACGTGGGTATCTGCTCTTTACCGGTAGTGTTCTACGGCTTTGATGACCGCCAATAACTCCTTCCTGTTCACACAGCACTTTTTACTTTTCTCAGAGTTTTTCTTAAGTATCCTATTACGTGTAACAACGGAGTGTACCAACTCCCTCGGTAAGTGCTGGGTGGATTGAGTAGCTCAGTAAATGCCGGTGCTGGTCCCAAGCCCAGATAAAGGGTTGAGGCGATGGGCTAGCAACTCATCCCTCGTCAAAAGAAATTAATGTTAAAAATTTCGACCAAAAGCCTCGGAATAAGGGATGGATCAAAACAAAGACGACTAATGCAACGGAAAAGGAAAATGATATTGGCTACATAGAATGTACAAGGACTTAAAACCGTAAAACGTAAAAGAAAAATAGATATATGTATTCTCACCGAGACCAAGAAAAATGGAAAAGAAAATGAAGAGATAGGATAATATATACATATCTGAAATGGAGTGAGTACAGATAACAGAGCTAAGAGAGGAGTCTCTATTGCCATTCGAATAAATCTAAAAAACAATATTAAATCGTGGACTGAAGTAAATGAACAACTACTTATACTGGAGATGAAAAAAAAGTGGGCACAACATCGTAATTATCGGAGTGTATGCCCAAATGAAGATGAAATACTCTCTGAAGTTAAAAACAACTGTGAAATCTTTATACCAAGAGATTTAAATGGAAGAGTAGGAAGAGAAGAAAATAACACAGTCGTAGGAAGATATGGAAACCAAATTACGAATGACAACGGAATGCGTCTTAGATATTTTTGTGAAACAATGTCTCTCAAAATTATGAATGACTTTTTTCAACATAGAGACATCCACAAATTTACATGGATACAACCTACTAGGAATCTGCGCTCGATAATCGACTATGTAATCCAACGTCAAACTTTGGGATATGGATCCGACCATCGTTTACTTATGGCCAAGCTGATAGTTAACTATCCCAAAAACAATAACACTCAGATACAGAATATAGAAAAGTGACAAGAAGTAACGTCCCCTAAATATAACCTAGAAAGCTTAAAAAAAGATTCAACGAAATTTCTTTACAAATTACGACTGGCCACACAATTACAAAATGTGGATCGAGAAAATATATCAGCGGAAGAATTATACCAGCAACTTGAAAAATGCATTCATGATGCTGCAAGTGAAGCTTTGGGGTATAAATACAAACGTGAAACAAAAAATCGAGAATGGTGGTCGAAGAACATGCAAAGAAGGAAAACTGCTTATCAGAAATGGATGTCAACGAAAAAGGAGGAAGATTACAAGACATATAAAATATTAAATCGAGATGTAAAAAGAGAAGTAGTGAAAAGTAAAAATGAGATGTGGGATCGAAGTTGTGCAGAGGTGGATAGGAATATGGGTGGAACAAGAGTTGGCAAGCGTTGAAGGTGATAAAATATCTCCGAGGGGAAGAAAAGGGAAAATCTAACTTACATTTAATAGATCTAAAATCACCATTATGAGGTCTTACTGACAGAGGATAGGTGTAAATTCCAAGAGATCTAAATGGAAGAAATATCCGAGCATATACAAATAATTGAGATAACAACCGGAGAGTTAAGCGATGCCCTCAAAAGATCGAAAAACGATAAAGCAGCAGGACCTGGAGACATCCCAATTGAGTTGGTAAAGTATGGACCAAAAATATTACATGAGATGTTGGTTCAACTATTTAACAAATGCTTAAAAGGACAAAATATCCCTGATGATTGGAATGTTGGATACATCAGCTCAATATTCAAGAAAGGGATAAACGCAAATGCTCTAATTATAGGGGAATAACTGTTATCAGCTCAGTGGGAGGTTGTACGGTCGAATAATAAAAGAAAGAATAGAATCAGAATACGAAGACATAGAAGAACAAATGGATTTCGTGCAGGAAGATCGTGCACTGATGGTATATTCGTTATGCAGCAGGTAATCGAAAAACGGAAAGCAACGAGTCTATCTACCCACCTATTGTTTGTAGATTTAGAGAAGGCATACGATACGGTACCTTGAAAAAACTGTTTCAAACATTGACGAAAGTAGGTCTCATAGAGAGTATGTGGATGCTATCGCAAATATATACAAAAATGCAAGAAGTGTCGTTAAAGAAGGAAACTTTATATCTGAATCATTTCAATAACAAAGGGCTTAAACAAGGATGTTGTCTATCTCCGACCTTATTTAAAATATATATTCAATCATCGCTAGAGCAGTGGAGGAAACAAGTATCCGGAATGGGAATAGACATAGGCGGTGGTAAATGTCTAACAACTTTATGTTTCGTAGATGATCAGGTAGTCTTAGCGAATGATGAAAAAGACATGGACTACTTGTTTAGAAAACTAAAGAAAGAATATGAAAAATGGGCCTCAATATGAATATGTCAAAGACAGAGTATCTTAAAATAGGAGATGATAAGAAGATCCAGAGTTAGAAATTAGAAACACAAAAACATATAATGAATATAAATATCTCGGATCTATAATATCTAAAGAAGGCACTACCAAAAGAGACATCGAAAACAAACGCAGCAGGAAAAAAAGCGATAAACATTCTAAACTCTCTACTATGGTCTAAAGATATTAGACAAGAAACAAAATTAACAATTTTTTTTTGTAAACGAAGTAAAACGTTTTAACGTTTTAATGGTACACTAATCTTAAAAATCTTTGTTTTGTGATTTTTTGGGTAATAAATTTTATGTTGTATCATTTTCTGGACCTAATAATTTATCGAAACTATCTGAATTTATCTTTTTTGGTACAATTATTATAAGCTTAAGCGAGAGCGTTCACCAAACCCGCGTGACATGTAACATGGCAGTGATATAGCACGGGCACGGCACTAGCATGGAGCGCACACTAAAGTAGCATGCCATTAAAAAGGCTAGTTAAATTCAAAATATCGCCCTCTGAGAAAGCTAACGCTTTTAAACGTCAACAGTATGAACAAAACTCGTCCGCAACGTCAGTTTTGGGTACACTTTTGTTATCATAGATACCTGGAAATTTCTCAATTAATGAGACAAAACGAATATTAAATTCTAGACGGTCTTCCATATTTAAATTTTTTAACAAACACACATGCAAAATGCAAGTAGCACGTGGCAAAAAGTAGAACAAGCTCTACTTTTAACGACGTGGCGTAGCAAGCTGCATGTACCACTGTCACTGTCATTTTGGTGTGCGCTGAATCATTCGTTTGCATTGGTTACATTTTAAGTAAGTCATATTAAATTCATTTCCATTTGTTACAAAATAGTTTTAACATGTCTAAGCCATTGGAACTTATGTTTCGGCTTTAAAATTTACAAAATTTCTTCACATTGTTTACATACCGAATTATGATAGGAATTCATAGAGTTATATTAACTCACTAGGGATTTTATTACAAGCTGTTGGTTTATGGAAACTATTAATTGCTTAAAAGCAGTTAAATAATTAACACATAATTTAATAGTTGTAGGTAAAATTCTTTTTTATAACAAAATCAACAGTTGTTTTAATGTTTATCGATCACATAAAACTAATGATTTAATAAAAAATAATATTTTACAGTCTGAAGTCTCTGATTTCGCTCCACTGTCGATTCCTGAAAATGTAACCCTAGTCAAAAGGATGATGATTAAATGTGCCGATGTATCCAACCCCACGAGACCTCTAAGATTATGCGTTGAATGGGCGAGGAGAATCACAGAGGAATATTTCCATCAAACCGACGAAGAAAAATCGAAAGGTCTACCGGTAGTGATGCCAATGTTCGACAGGTACACCTGCTCAATACCAAAATCCCAGATTGGATTCGTTGATTACATTATCAATGATATGTTTGAAGCGTGGAACGGTAAGTTAATTGTTAAGTTTATGTACTTATATAAACTGGTTCGTGATGTATTTATTTTGTCTTTACATTGTTGTAAGTAATCTTTTATGGTTAAAAAATAGATAATGTCTGACAAGGTGTTTATTTATACAACTCTGACAGCAGGCAGATGTGTGATAGACCGCACTTTTTATTCATCTTCAATGAAGACATTATCATTTTATATTATACTGGAGCTTAGATTCGCCATATTTTATTCGCCAGATTAGATGCAGGTAACCTATAAGGGGCAGAGGCCATGTACAGAGAATGACATTTATTTTTTATTTATCGTATGGCAATTACAACACATTTAGAACAAAATTACAAACACTAGTAATATAGGTATATGACAAACTTTAAATAGTTACAAACAAACATCAAGTGTATTAACATAATCAATTGACTCTGAAGTTGCAAACAGGAAGTCTTCAGGGCTACCATTGTAGGATCTTGAGGGACACTCTTCAATAATGTGGTCGATCGTTTGGTTCTTCCCACAGTCACATTGAGGAGACGGATTCTTTCCCCATTTATGTAGCATATATGCACATCTGCCATGTCTGGTTCGGATCCTGTTTAGAGTGGACCATGTTTTACGTGGAAGATCAAAACCTGGTGGCTTGTGGGTAATGCAGGGCATGTTATTTTGCCATGCATTCCATTCTTGGGACCATGCATTCGTGATGTTGAACTCCTCATGTATCATTCTTGCCGTTTTCATTGGTGGTTTTCTAGAACGTAGACGGGTATTTCGTGCATCCTCGGTATCTTGGTGGATCGGCAGGTTTATATTGTTCATGATCTTTTTGTATTCACGTGTAAGTGCGTCAACTCGTCGTAAATGTGGAGGTGGAATGTTACTTAATACTGGAAGCCATTGGGTGGAAGTTGATTTAACTGTACCAGCTATCATCCTCATGGTGCTGTTCAGGTGACTGTCTGGTCTGTAGTTTTTTGGATTGTCAGCGGGTTTGCCTGTCTTTGGTATGGCTATTATCTTAGAGCGCTTTAGTTCTTGTGGGATATTTCCAGTTTCTATGATGTCTGTGAAAAATCGAGCCAACCAAACTTTTGTATACTTGCCACAATTTAGTAGGAATTCAGGTGAATATTATCAAATCCTGGTGCTTTTGCTGGCTTAACGTCTTTAAGAGCCTCTGATATGTCTTCGCTGGTGAAGGGGAGGGAATGCTCCGTTTCTGTGGCTACATGTTTTAAAGTTTTAAGTTCTCTCTTTACGTAGATGTGTGTGCTTTATCCTTTGGTGCCCTGGATGTTTTTACTATATGTGATGCTACGGCATCTGGCTTTACGGCTGCCTCTCGGCGTTTCGTACGGACACCACTCCCTAATTTTCTTAGTAATGACCATGCCTGTCTGCTTGATTTCTGGAAGTTTAGACTTTCTACTGTTTCGGTCCACTTTTGGCTTCTAGCGGCGTCTAGGCTGTACAGTAGTTCATCCGCTATTTCTTGGTCGCCAGTTTCAAGAAAGCTCTGATATAGTTCCTCGCTATTTTCCGACCAGCCAGGAACATATTCTTTGCGATATCCTCTTGGTATGTGTTTTTTGGCTACACTTAGCACGGCACCAACAAATCTGTGGTAGTTTTTGATATTCGGTGTAATCCACCCTAGACATTTATCTAGATCCACAGAGAAGTCAATCCAGTTGGCCTTTTTAAAATTCCATCTTGGACGTGGGATAGAACTAATTAAAGGGATTTGCGTCCCTACTTCTATTATTACTGGTCGATGTTGGCTGTGTGGGAAATCAGTTAGAACTCTTCGTGAAGCCCTAGAGGTAAGTCTTTGTTGTCGGTCGAGACGAAGCATAGGTCGGGGTTGTATTCCCGCCTCCATGCCGCGGATCTGAAGGTTGGTCGATCTTTGGCATCAAACAAAAGGTATAGGCGTTCGTCTTCTGCCCATTTTATTAAAGCATTCCCATTTGCATCACTATTTTTGTACTTCCACTGTTCATGATGGCTATTGTAATCTCCAACGTATACAGCAGGGTGAGGCTGTACTTCAATTGCTTGGGCTGGCCAAGACGTAGCAGGTGGCTTGTAAATGTTGGACACGGTAATGCTAGCGATTTTTGTGACCACATTATAAATACAGTCATCAGTGGAAGTAGAGATTAGCGAAGCATTTTCAATATCTTCTTTGACATATGTGGCTGTGTCGTATGTTCGGTGGTAAGTTGCGCCTAATAGTTCATATCCCGGTATTTTGCCCCTTTTTTGTAGTTGCTCCTCTGTTTCGCAGTGGGTTTTCTGTATAGCAACTAAGTCAATGTTGTCATATTTTAATAGTTTTGATCAAAAATGGCTTTTAGCATAGCTTATGCCTTCTATGTTTATGTGGCAAATTCGAACTATAGGTCCGATTGGTCTAGTTGTGCGGTCCTCACAAGGGCCGTTTATTTTGTTTATCATCTTTCGTTGGAAGTGTTGTTTGGTCAGGAGATCCTAAGGATTGTCTGACTGCCAGTATGTGCTAGTTCATTTAGCGTTACCCAGGGTGCACGTGTAGTATTCTACTACGGACGCGAACTAGCTCTACACCCCAGAGAATGACAGAACATCGCCTATCGAAGATAATGTTGAAAGGGCAGCCACCTCAGCGAAAAAAATTAAGAAGACCGAAAACAACATGTCTTAATGGAGTTCAAAATGCAATTCTGATCTAAAACGGACTTAATACAGTAGCAACCTTCTCTATCCTGTTTAGAGAGCTGTCAATGACAAGAATATTGTAAACAAAATTGAAAAATAAGGTTCATTTCCCGCTCACTTAGATATCCAAAATCTCGGCATGGGGTTTGTGCATGTAAAAGTAGGCAAGCCTATTGAGACTATAATTTTTTGGATACATAAGATTTGATTTCATGGAACTTAATACGTAAAAAGCCTGCAATTTGGCAGAATATGTTTAATAATAATTAAAGCACGTTTATCATAGTTTTAATTTAGTATCCTTGGCAAAGAATCCATAAATTAATTAGGATTTTTCTGGTATTTCAATCTATTTTTGTAAACATCTTATTTGTGTAAACTTTTTATAAGCTACATTTCATGTGTTTATTTTTAGCTTTTATTGACATGCCAGAATTGCTGGCACATATGAGACAAAACTATATAAGATGGAAAGAACTAGATGAACAGGGTCATACAACACTTTCAGATATACAAAAACTCCAGGCTACTGCTTTGATGAACCCAATGTTTCCCCAAAAGCCTACCAAAGGCGAATGATGGATGCTTACACGTAAGTATTTGTAAAAGGCTAGCTAAAAAGTCATTCAAAGAACAAAATTTAAAAATAGAAAATAAAGTAAATAACAAATTTTTATTTAATTTTATAATATTAATAATATAACTATATAATATTAAGAACAATCTTAATTGGGAGTAGCTGTACACAAGTGATTAATGCAGTGAGTACCCAAGTGATTAATGCTTCCAAATTGTTCTATCCCTTAAAATCTTGAATAATAATACGTCGGTCAATAAGTCCCGTGCCTGAGAGATGGTGACTCTAATGTATTTTCCATTTGACATTTAGGTAATCCTTAACCTTCAAAAGCATACTACCAAAATACTCATAGTACCTAATTCAGATTATTATTTACTCAGTTACAGTGTTTAAAATTAAGTTACTTTTGTGATTTTTATAAACAATGGATTCAAAGCAATTTCTTGTGTTGATTTATCACTGTTATTTAATGGGAAAAAATCCCGTCCAAACTAAGCAATGGCTCAAATAGTGTTACCGAAACTTTGCTCCATCGATTTATACTATTAAATGATGGTTTGCTAAATTCAAGTGCGGTCGTACCGACACCAATGATGTTGAGCGCTCCAGGAGGCCAAATGATGCAGTTTTTCCCGAAAACGTCGAAAAAATGCTAAAAATTATTATGGAAAACCGCAAAGTCAAGTTGCAAGAGATAGCTGACACCCTAAAGTTAATAATAGGTACCATTTTGACTATTACTCATGGTCATTTGGGTATGAGAAACCTGTTTTTTTCCAAATGGGTGCCGCGTTTTCTCACACAGAAGCAAAAATAACAACGAATTCATGAATCTCAGCGCTGCTTTCGCTGTTTGGACATGTTTAATCGGAATAAGTCTAGAGTTTTTGCATTGGTATGTTAAAATGGATGAAACATGGATCCATTACTTCACACCGGAATGAAAATCGGCAATCATCTGAGTGGATTGAACCCGAGAAAACCGTCCAAAGCGACCAAAGGCGCAACTAACCGCCGGAAATGTTATGGTCTCTGTATTTTGGAACTCGCAATGAATTATTTTCATTAACTATTTCAAACATGGAGAGACAATCAACAGAAACCTACTATACGTGTTTATTAGAGCCTTTGAAGACTGAAATAGTAAAGAAAAATTATTATTTGTTCAAGAAAGGTTTTTTCACCGAGAAAAAGCACTGTATCACAGGTCGATGAAAACGATGACTAGTCTTACTCCCTCTTGTCTGTCATCCAAAGCCTCCCTAAAGATTTCTTCAGATTATCTCTCCCTAAGAGTACAGATTAAAAAGAGTGGGTGACAAAACACAACCCTGCCGTACTCCACGTTTGATGGATATTTTTCAGTCGGACTATCTCCAATTTGGATAGAGGCTACTTGATTGTAATATAAGTATTTCAGCAGTCTTATATCATAGTGGTCAAGTCCTGCTGCCCGTAGGCAATCGAAAAGTGTATCATGTTGTACTCTGTCGAATGCCTTCTCGAAGTTGATGAAACAAACATAAATATTCTTTCGGAATTCACAACTTTTTTGTAATAGAACGGCATACAGAATAGCGCCTCTCTAGTTCCTAGACCGTTTCTAAATCCAAATTGCTTATTACCCATCCTACTTTCGCATAGAAGGAATACTCGGTTTTGTATAATTCGTAAGAGTATCTTCAGTGTGTGACTCATCAAACTGATTAGTCTAAAATCGCTGCATTTGGTGGGCCTGCTTTTCTTTGGTAATGTTATAAACAGTGACTCTAACCAATCATCTGGTATTTTTCCTTCGTTGTAAATTTTGTTGAAGAAAGTGGTTAAGCAGGCAATGCTTTCCTCATCCAAAAGTTTAAGTAGCTCAGCAGGGATTTGATCTGGTCCAGGTGCTTTATTGTTTTGGCTTGCTGTATTGCCTTTTGACTTCGAATTCAGGACCTCTGTCTAACTGGTTTCACAGGCAGTATTTGAGCATTTTCTCTAGAAGCATCGTCAAAAAGGTCAGTGATGTATCTCTCCCATTCTTTGCACTGTTGTTCGTGATCACAAATTTTTCCGTCCGCGCTTTTAAGTATGTGAGCATTTTTCTGTTTTCTAATTCCGGCAGTATATTTAAGTTTCTTGTGGAGGTTGAAACTGTCATGCTTTTTTTGGAGGTCTTCTATTTCTTTACATAAATTCTCAAGCCAGGATTCTTTGGCTTGCTTAATTTTTTTTTTATGCGTTTATTGATTTCACGGTATTCGATAATATTTCTATTTTTGTGTTGCCGTCGAACTTCCATCAGGTCTAGAATTTCTTGTGTCATCCACTCATTTTTTGACAACATGGTAGGTGTTTTCAAAGACTCTTGTACGTTCTCTAAAATCGAGTTTTGAATATCATACCAGCATTCGTTAATGGTTCTGTTTTCGTTTGGTATATTTGATATTCTGTGTATTTTACTATTTACTACAATAATTAATTTCAGTGTATTGTTCTGAAGCTATTTTCTTGTGGCATTTTAAATTAATTACTATTTAACTGGGAATAAGCCACAATTAAAGATAAAAATACGTTTATTGACGTTTCAATTTCCACTTCGGAAATCGTTCTCAAAATACAAACAGTAAATTAAACAAATTTTGTTTTTTGTTACATAGTGAAAAATTCTTCTAATAATTTAATTTTATCTGACTCATTTATATTGACAATTCAGACATACATTATGCATTTTAAAGTAGACGACTTTAAAATGATATTGCCAATATTGTTGAGTTGCGCTCCTGGGACGACTTTACTTATAAGATAGTTCATTCGATTACATGAAATCAACTTTAACTTGAGAATATCCGTCAGAAAAAAATCATAGCATGTAATTCGTCTTTAAAAAGACAAACACATGACATGATGACAGTAAAATTCTCCTGTTAGTGATTCCATAGTAAATTATGAGGGAAAAACCAGGAAAAAAACCTCATAATACTATCCCGACATGGTAAGTATTTGTTCGTGCATTTAGTTTACCTTCAATAAACACCAAAATTCTGATTTTATATGTTTCGTTATTTAAAAAACATAAATGATGTATCCTCTATATGTTACTGACTTACTAATACTGGTATTTTCTTATTAATAACTTCCTCTTTCAATATTGGTAACCAGATCCTACTACATTCTGCCGAGGAATTTGCGACACAATTGGCCTCATTTAGCATAATTAAAGCCGCTTCTTTGATTTTTCTTTTTTTACCATCCGTCTCTTTTAGGACTACATTTGAATTATTCCATTGAACCCTATGTTCATTATCCCATGCGTGTTTACATATTTGAGATCTATCAAATTCTCTATTTTTAATATAAGATTGATGTTCACTTATTCTAACATTTAATGGCCTTGATGTTTCACCTAAATAAAACTGATCGCATTCACAAGGTATTTTATAAATGCAATTCTTTGTCCTTTCTTGTTCATTGTTAGGTTTGGTTTTGGACAAAATAGATCTCAACGTGTTTGTTGTTTTGAATGTTGTTGAAATGTTGAATTTATTGCCTATCCTTTTAAATAAAAGTATGCCTATCCTTTTTACCGTACATAAAGGATTATCAGAAAAACTTAAAAGGATAGGCAATAAATTCAACGTATCAACAACATTCAAAACAACAAACACGTTGAGATCTATTTTGTCCAAAACCAAACCTAACAATGAACAAGAAAGGACAAAGAATTGCATTTATAAAATACCTTGTGAATGCGATCAGTTTTATTTAGGTGAAACATCAAGGCCATTAAATGTTAGAATAAGTGAACATCAGTCTTATATTAAAAATAGAGAATTTGATAGATCTCAAATATGTAAACACGCATGGGATAATGAACATAGGGTTCAATGGAATAATTCAAATGTAGTCCTAAAAGAGACGGATGGTAAAAAAAGAAAAATCAAAGAAGCGGCTTTAATTATGCTAAATGAGGCCAATTGTGTCGCAAATTCCTCGGCAGAATGTAGTAGGATCTGGTTACCAATATTGAAAGAGGAAGTTATTAATAAGAAAATACCAGTATTAGTAAGTCAGTAACATATAGAGGATACATCATTTATGTTTTTTAAATAACGAAACATATAAAATCAGAATTTTGGTGTTTATTGAAGGTAAACTAAATGCACGAACAAATACTTACCATGTCGGGATAGTATTATGAGGTTTTTTTCCTGGTTTTTCCCTCATAATTTACTATGGAATCACTAACAGGAGAATTTTACTGTCATCATGTCATGTGTTTGTCTTTTTAAAGACGAATTACATGCTATGATTTTTTTCTGACGGATATTCTCAAGTTAAAGTTGATTTCATGTAATCGAATGAACTATCTTATAAGTAAAGTCGTCCCAGGAGCGCAACTCAACAATATTGGCAATATCATTTTAAAGTCGTCTACTTTAAAATGCATAATGTATGTCTGAATTGTCAATATAAATGAGTCAGATAAAATTAAATTATTAGAAGAATTTTTCACTATGTAACAAAAAACAAAATTTGTTTAATTTACTGTTTGTATTTTGAGAACGATTTCCGAAGTGGAAATTGAAACGTCAATAAACGTATTTTTATCTTTAATTGTGGCTTATTCCCAGTTAAATAGTAATTAATTAATTTCATATTATAATGTAGCATTGTTTTTTATCAATGTATTTTTTTTTCGAAACCAGCAAAAAACACTATTTTGTTTTATTCCCAGTGGCATTCCTGAGTATATTTTAGTTGAGTAAATGTATATTTATTGGAACAAATGATTATATCGTTGCAAAGGACCATAAGGAGACCTTTCAAATGAGCTGTCGCGTGACATCGGTTTGTATTTAAAAAAATCGTCGATTACGTCGTTACACCGACACACATGTATACACATATATAGCAGTTGATGGCCATTCAAAAATTAAAATTGACGTGTTCTAAGATTTTTTTAAAGTCGTCTGTTTCTGAAATAATGAATTCATTCCATACATTTTCATCG